TTTTTTTCCTTTTTTTTTTTTTTTTTTGGGTACCAGGGATCAAAACTCAGGACCTTGTGCTTACAAGGCAGGCATGGTGCCACTGAGCTAAATCCCCGGCCCATTCATAAATGGTTTTTATTTAGTAAGCTAACTCCACAATCACTCACACAGGAACTAATTGTTACAGGAAAATGGGGTGGTCTTGAGTAGAAATTTTTATTCTACTGTCTAAAGTCATCTCGGAGATAGCAGTCAGCAGATGTTCCTCCCCCAACACGCAGTCCTGAGCCAGGTCTCACTATGTAGTCCAGGCCCCTCAAGCTCACAGTGCCAAGGGCCAGGATCACAGCTGTGCACCTCTGTGCAGCGAGGTTCGATTCTGTAATCCAGGGTCACTGTTCAAAATGAAATAAGGGAACAGAAAAGTAGGCAGCAACCGATCAGAAATGCCACAGCTGTGCCATCAGGAGACGCACTTCCTGCTGGCTACCAGGAGTCAAGCTCAGACATCACCTCCCCATCCAAATACTGTGGCCTAGGCAACTGCAGCCTGAGAGAAAAAGCAGCCCCTGACTACCTTTATACAACATCCACACGATGATCAGCCCGTTCTGGTCACTGGTCGTCAACTTCTGGTACTGTTCGTTCCATGTCACCACTTGGACGGAACCTAAAATATTAGAAACAATTCATTAACTTAATTTCTTTCTTTCTATAAACACCTAGAGCATGTTAAAATCAACCAGTTCCCATTGTCAGTCTTTCATGTTAAAATCTGAAAGTATGAACACCAACATTTACAGGTTATGCATTTCCTGAGATCACCACCATTCCACAACAGTGCCTAAGGCCCTCTCAGATCTGCCCGTCTCATACTTCCACAGGTACCTCCTATGGGCAGCACAAGAACTACCACAGCACTGAAGACAGACACGGATGTGGGCACAACTTACTGCACTGGCCTGGAATGATGTCCAAGGACACCAAGCTTTTCTTTCACTTCTGTGTTGGTTTGTTTCATAAGAGCCATAATCTGTCCTCTCTCCCCAGTTTTCCACACTAGTAGTGAGATACTCCTAAGTATGCCTTAAACCCCTGAATCTCCCCTGCCCCTCTAATGGGGAATGAAGCTAGGGCCTTCACACTGAATTACATCCCCAGGCTTTTAGTTTTTACTTTGAATCAGGGTCTCACTAAGTCAGTACATTGTCTGAGCTAGGCTAGAACTTGTGATCCTCCTGTCTCAGCCTCCCAGAGTGCTGGGATTATAGGTTGTACCACCATGACCAGCTTTCTTTTAATAACCATTATTCCTAAATACTTTAGTGCATATTCCTAAGGACGTTCTCCTTTGTAACCATTTGACAAACTACGAAATTTAACATTTATAAAATATCATCATCTAACACAGAGTCCACCTTCAAATTCTGTCCGGTGTCCGAGTGGAACCCTTTACAATACTGTACTTGTCTAGTTCACAAGGCTCTCGCCCAAGACCACAGCTGTGCACTCAGCCGTTATAGCTCTCTAGTCTCCTTTACTCTGACATCCCAGGACAGAGTTTTTTTTAAGATTATTTAATATATAAAATAACAGCTACATTTTTCAGACATAAAGAAGACACTGTCTAACCCTGAGAAAGTTGGTGGCTGCGAAGCTTTTAGAGCTTTCAGGGCCAACGAACTGCCTGCTGCAGCACATGTGCCACAGGTTCGCCACCGCTGACCTCAGCCACATGAGCTACAGCTCAGTGAAAATGATTAAACATGACAGCTACTTTAAGTGTTGATGTTCCTGCATTAAATAGCTTCGAAATGTATACAGACTCCTCAAAAACGATTCTAGGAGCTGCAGCACTCACCACTGTGGCCCTCCAGAGTCTGATTCATGGACAGGTTACTGGGAGCTGCAAGGCCCCTTAGCTTTGCATCGTCTGAAACAGAACAAGGCACTCGGGTAAATGCATGAAGGTGGTCAGGGTTTTGATTGAGACATCTTTTTTGTGTACCTGGTGGACATTCTAATCATTTTTTAGAAGTTTATTTCATTCTGGTCTCTCGTGGCCCAAACGTGACAATAATGTATACCCTTGCAAAGGTTGAACTCTAGTGAAATAAAGCAAAATGTGTAAGAGAACACTGTTTACATGATGTGTTAAATACACGAACAATCATCATTGCTTCACATCTCTTCTTCCCAAAAGGTCCCACTAGGAATGATGTGGCATTCAGACTGAAAACCCTAAGGCTTACGAGAGGCCAACAGCAAAGAGTATTGGAACGGGTTTCACTGGGTTTCACAGAATCTCACATTCATCTCTTCATTCAACAATTATTTACCAAATGTGTGCACTGTGCTCGGCACCATGGAAGGTTCCACATTTAAAGTGAATAACATGGTCCCTACCTCTCTCTCCCCGCCTCTCCTTAGAGAGCTCGCAGTCTATGGGGGAGACCACTGTTACACGCAAATATCACTGTAAGGTGAGAAGTAAAGGCTTCACAAAAACAGGGATGGGGGCGGGGGCTTAACGCAGGCTGAAGGGGAACCGGGGGGAGGCTTTCTGAAGAAGTGCTATTTAAGTGGAGACAGAGATGGCAAGTAAATGCGGGGACAGGGTGCATTCCAGGCCGACAACACAAACGCTAAGGCCCAGGTATCTGTGGATGACAGCAATGGAGGAAACTGTCTCACGTGAAGCCAGAGGGACAGGCACAGAAAAAATTAAGGAGGCTCTGCAGGAAGTTATAAGAAAGACTTTATGCAAAGTGCAAAGGAAGCCTTTAAAGACTTCATGAAAATTTATTCTCTTTGATTATTAATCATCTCACAGAAAATTATACAATATTAAAATGTCATCACAATAAATTAATCTTCACTTAGAAAATCCGATTGTTAGATATAAAATAGAGCACTTCAAACTTTCACTTAAAAACACAAATTTTATGATCTTACAAATTTGAGACAATGGGAATTATTATAAAACTGATACCAAAGAAAATTCCATTTTCAGATAACAACTATTTTAAACAATTTGAAATATATTCTTTATTCTGAAAACACAACCAGTGAAAAATACCTGAAATTCTGTAAAATCACTAGTCCTAATTACCTGGTTGCTCACAAGAGTACACAAGTATAATTTAAAACTGCAATCATCTGTCAAACAGTTGAGATAGAATAAATGCTGCTGATGTGTGCTACGTTGAACAGGTTTTCAACAAGGGCTTTCACTCGTCTAATCTTTTAAAAATTGTATAACATGCTTAAATTTTATTCTAATATTCCAAAAATATTTAATGGAGCCTTGTTAATTTCCAGCACTGAAAAATCCACTGTAATGCCTCTAAGAGTCACTGTATCCAAGTGAAATTACTGCTCTGTGTTTTTGAAGGTTACAGGACCCAGCAGACCTGAAAAAGTGATAAAGTGGCCCATCTCTCCACTTGCTTCTGTGCCCTCAAGTCACAGTTCTGCACAGCAGAGGACTTTTCCTTCAGTAAACCGTTAAGACGGGACACTCTTGAAAAAATGTATGCTGACAGGGGCCGGGGATTTTAGCTCAGTGGCACAGCTCCTGCCTTGCAAGCCCAAAGTCCTGAGTTTGATTCCCAGTAATTCTCCCCCAAAAAATACATATAATATATGCACAGGTAAAAATAATGGGCTTTGAAATACTGATCAACTGTCACCCAGCTCATGTCTCTCGCATAACTTAATAATACAAAGAATACTCATAACACCCACCTAAAAGTTCTCAGATTTAAAGAAGGTCAAATGTTTTAAATTAGGTTAAGTAAATTCAGCAAGACCCTAAGATTTTATCTAGTGACATTACTAAACTCCACATAGCCAAAAAGGCAACCAAACCAAACTGGCATGGGAACAAAAATCTGACATAAAACTTCTAATAGCACCTACCCATAACCCCTGGATTTAAAAAGCCTGATGAGAGGCCAAGGGCCAGGGATCTAGTTCAGTGGTTCGGTGGCCTGCCTTGCAAGCTCAAGGACCAGAGTTCAATCCCCGGTACCAAAAAAAAAAAAAAAAAAAAGCCTGATGAAAGAAGGTGCCAAAAAATAAGGCATTTTAAAGCTATGAAGAAAATTTCAAATAAAATCAGTAGTTTCAACAATCCAAGTACCTCAAAAGTCCAAAGAAGCATGTAAAAGTAGTACCTATAATAAGGTGACAGAAAATGAAGGGTCTAATGTAGGAAAAGGAACAGTCTGCTAATATTGCTGAAAAATATTCTGAAGTCATTGATTCTCTACAATACATAATCCTCTGTTTCATATTTGTCCATACTTCGTATCTGCAAAGACATCTGCCTCGCAGACAGGTCTGATGCCGGAAGCAAGCGGAAGCACGGTTTTCCAGGCAACCTTCTCTCAGGGTCGTCACATCCAAAGGGGTTTTGGGTTGACGCGCCCCATGACTGCGCTTGTTTTCCACTCACGAATAATGTACATCTGAACATATCGTAACCCTTTGGGTTGTACGAATAACTGACTGCATCTCATTTTCCCTCAGTATTTAGGGTGCAATGGATTTCCCAAAAGTAAGGACATTCTCTCGCCAGTAACCAAGCACACTACATCTTTAAGAAATTATCTCTTGGAAAAGTTTTACTGACAGTGCTTTTATAAAAGTTTTCCTTTATAAAAGTTGATAGGGTAGGAAATTTGATACCCAGAATCAAAATATCTGGAAGGCTTCTTTGCAACACTCGAAGAGACAGTGGAATTTCGAGCAAGAGATGCTCCCACGTTCTCAGCTTTACCGGAAGTCACAGTCACCTGTCTACCTTGCTTCTCCTGGTAAATGACCTCAAGGGACTGTCATATATCCAGGGTACAGGCAGGAGTGGACACATGACCTGATGTTTCCTATCAGTCTCTTTGCCCTGGGCACACTGGAAGGCAGAGCCTTCTCACCACTGCAGTGACCAGAGGTCAGAGCAGCTGGCTGCAGTTGGTCTGCTTGGCCCCTGAGTACTTTTCCTAAAATCTGATGTTTTGCTTCAGGGCTCACAACCTCCCTGGCATTGGCAGTGGAGATGCAAGAGATGCCACCTCATCTGGGCTCAAGTCCCCGCTACTGGGGAGACTGAGGCAGGAGGATCACTTGAACCCAGGAGTTCAAGGCCAGCCTGGGCAACATACCATCTTAAAGGGAAAGAGCGAGAGAGACAGACAGACAACCTCAACCCTAGTCAGGGTAATTACCCTCAGACGCTCCCACAAGCAACTCCACCCCAGACCAGCCGCCCTGTAAAGACTTTTCAGCAGAGAAACAGCAAGAGCTGACCCCCACACACACCTCTTTTAAATGACGCTGGCTAGAGTGAAGAATGACTAGGAGGAGGCCCGGGACCCTGCGGAAAGGGCGTTCTCACAGCTGTTAGGTGAGGCAGCAGTGGCTGGAGCTGGAGAAGTCACAGGGGCACAAAGGGAAAGGGGGGTCCAAGCACACGTTGGGGCAGCAGCAAGGGGCTTATGAGTGGGGGTGATGTTAGGGGAGGGGAAGCAGGGTCCCCAGCTTGTGCGGATAAGTGGTTAGGGCACCTGCTAAGCTGGAGAGAAAGGAAAGGAGACCTGGGACCAAGAGTTCGGTTTTGCACAAGGTAAGAATGAGATGCTTGTGAACGGTTCCAGTAGAGCTGTCCAAGCCTGAAACATCAGGACTGGACTGGAAATGTAAACAGGGTCATCACCCCACAGGTGCCATTTATGGCCACAGAAACGAAAGGACAAACCTAAAGAGCAAATGACAAGAGAGCCCAGACGAAGTTTCTCAGAAGTTCTGGTGTCTAGAAGAGAAGAACCTGACAGAGCCTGAGAACTGCCAGAAGGAAGCCGGTGATAACATGCTTAAATATGAAAATAATTTTAAATGCTTGATTTCCCGTCTTGAAAAATAATGTTTCAAAAGAAGAATGGCAAAACCCTAATAGAGCTGAACAAAAGCTGCACATTAGCTTTAGACCATGAAAGCCACAGTAAGGGACAGAAAAGGAGAAAAGACGGCTACCGAAAGGAGAGAGGAGCTGGGGTGGTGGCACATGCCTGTGACGCTAGCACTCTGAACAGCTGAGGTAGGAGGATCGCAAGTTCAAGTCCACCCTGAGCACTGACAAGGCCATTTCAAAATTGTTTTTAACTTATTAATTAAATTAAATTCCTAAAAGGTGGGGGATGTAGCTCAGTAAAGGCAAAATCCTGGTTCAACTAATCCCCAGTGCCAATTAAATAAATAGGAAAGAAAAGAGAGAAGTCCCACGCGGGTCAGAGGAGATGGACTCCGGCAAAACAAGGGAGCCGCCCTGAGGGAACATGCAGATGAGCCCTTCCTCTCACCTGGACTGCAGCGGGGTCCAGCCTTCCAGACTGTACCCACACTGAGGACCCCCACAAACACACACCCTCCCATGCAGGCAGCGGTGCTTCCAGAAATTTATCCTAGAAAGTACTTAAAAGTCTGTGTAAAGACTTGGATACAAAGATACTGTTATTCAACAATAAGGGTGCGGACATATGTAAGTGTCCAGCATAGAAATGAAGCAAATTACATGGCATCAATACCCTGGAATACTAAACACCACTAAAGCGGGGCCGCAAAAGACGACGTACTGGCACAGAGAACTATTCAATTTATTGCCGAGTTAAGCTGCTCTGTGCCAGATGAGTTACAACACAATACTTACAATGCCGCAATAAAGTGCTTGAGATTAAGCAGACAGGCGATATCTGGTAATTATCAGTGGAGAGATCTGCGGCATCACCACTATTATTATTAAATATAATACACTGGCATTGTTAAGACACTCCCAGCACAATCCACAATCATTAAATTCCAAAACGAATAATTTACCTCACTTTCTAAACCTTCTAAGAACCTGCTCTAATTTCAACATTCTAACTAAAGTTCATCAAGAGCAAAGAGCAGGTCAGGGGCTTTAAAAAAAAAAAAGGCCAGCCAGGTGTGGTGGCGTACACCTGTGGTACCAGCTGCTCAGGATGCTTCGGCAGGAGGCTCGCTTCAGCCCAGGAGTCCTAGGCCAGCCAGAGTAACACAGATCTCTGCACCACCCAAAAAGAACTTCAATGTTAAATAAAAAGAATGCATTTCTTAACATAATTGAAAGTTGTTACATACTTTAAGCAAAATACATTTGTGTATAGATATTTCAGAAACATAATGGAAAAATTCTAACACAGTTAAGAACTGACACACTGAGAGGTTAAATTACATAACAGCAGAAGCCAAACTTTGATACCTATACTTTGATACAAAATGCATCTTCAAGTCTACCCTTAGTGTGTCACACGAATAAGGTAGTACATCAAAGCAATAGATCTCTTTGCTTAGGCTATGAATCCTTTGTGGAGCAGTTAAAAAACAAGGACTTGAAAGTGAGACAGACTTAGTTTCAAATCCCAGGCCTCCCCTTCCAGGCTGCGTGACCTTCAGCAAGTAAGTTACTAACTGATCAGCGCCTCAATTTCCTCTCCTAGAATATCCATCTCAGAAGACCACTGCAAAATCAAATGAAACAATACAGGTTAACCATCCAGCACACAAAAGTACTAAATACTTACAATTCAAAGTTCTAAGGCAGCACTACCCAAAGTGTGTTCTGAAAGTCAGCAACACCAGCATCAGGAAAGATGAAAATTCCCAGTCCCCATTCCAGACCTGCTCTGAGAACAGAGCAATCCATCTTAACAACTAAATCCACTTTAAATGGATTTGTTAAAATTCATTTTATCAACTTCTTCTAGTGATTTTTACACCTGATAAAATGTGGAAGGCAATACTGTAAGGAATCCAAAATGCAATCTAACTGAACTCCTGTTTTACAAAACAGTGAACTAAAACCCAGATATTCAGCAACTTGAGTGAAAGTCATTCAGTAGTCTTAGGACAGAGTTGAATACAACTGCGATCTCTTTACCTATACTTCCAAACCCAATCAGGAATAGCCTAGATTCCCCCATCTGTTTACTGTGATTCAAGAGAACTAGAAAAAAAGAAAAGAAAGAAATCAAGCCAAAAAGACAAGACCTTATTTACAAAACATAAAATACATTTCACTTTCAATTGGGAGGCACTAACTGAACAGTCATTAACACAGCTGGTAAGGAGAAAAGACGAGACAGGTCTGCAAGGAATATGCCAACGGGAGATTTTGTGAGGTTTCTAAAGTCGTGATTGGCATGGTTTTTATGGGACTCCTAATAATACATCACAATAACTGGACAAACACAGTGGCTTGGTTTCAGTCTTTCTCATTTTCCATCAGTAACTTGAGCAAAAGCCACATGATGTCTTCATTGACATTCTGTAAATTTTATTGTAAAAATATTCTATGACAGTCTGGGTATGTAGCTCAGTGGCAGACAGCTCGCCTGGCATATGCAAGGCCCTGGGTTCGACCAGCCACACACACACACCACCTCAGGGAAAACAAAAAAAAAGTTTGTTTGGGTTTGGGGGTTTTTCTCTTTTCTTTTTAAAAGAATCAGAATTGCACACTGACAAATACCATCAACAAATCTCATGAATAACCAACTTCAAACGTTTGGGCTTGCATTTCTTTACCTGTCTGTGTCTCTAACTTCAAAACTTTCAGTAATCCCTCTTCACCACCGCAGGCTATGAAGCCTTGGTCCTTGTTCCAGGAGATACATTTCAGCTTCACACCATTGGGAATGGCAATCTGTAAGAGGAAGTACAGCCTCGCTAGCAGCTTTTCACCAAGGGGCTGGGAAATCAGTCTACGGGAGATGAAGACAGAAGAAAATCTTCCAACAAGAAAAACCGCAGGAAAATGGGCTGTTATGAAAATGGCCAAAGTCCCCCAATTTGGGAAAGGGGAAAGAAGCACACGGAGGGCAGCGACCGCGGGGAGGGTAGGGAGACGTCACACGATGGCTTGGGGGGCCCCGAATCCACACCAATGGTCCGTGCTCGCTTTCCCCACACAACACTCAGGCCATCCTTCTCTTTACCCTGTCCTCTCGCCGGCCGCCGGTGACGATCCAAACACGTGGGTCGGCAGCAAGAGGCAGAGGAAAGAAGCGACACCTCCCGCTGCCGCGTCCTGCGGGTCACCGA